AATTAATAAGGGACAGAGAGAATATGTATATACAATGTGCCTTTTGTCGGATACCATACAAATTTAGAGTTGCCATACACCTCAAAGTGGCCAAAAAGTCTTCTGATATTTTTCGAAATTGCAAAGACAGTCGCTCTAACTCTCTTCCTTTTAGAGCCCATTTGGTAAAACGTCGAAAATTGGCTGATTTAGCAGACAATTTTTTAAATATATTATATTTTATTAACAAAATAAAGAAAAATCATATGTAAAAATAGCTAAAATGGTCATCTACAATAACTTCAGCAAATACAACCATAAAAGTAACTCTTCTTTTACTTTTTCTACTTATTACATAATTCATCCTCTTAGTCGTACAACCAAGACTCCGTACAATAATCTACTTATAATTATCAGCCATTCTTGTTGTACCCACATTTATACCCACATTTATATCCATGTCGGTGAAGGCTATTTTTTTTGTCTGTGAGTCATGTTCACAGACAAAATAAGACATTTTATCGGTGAACAACATTCATAGACAAAACAGTCTTCCATAGACATGGTGGGTGAAAGGGTGGATACAAACATCAATTTTCTAGTATTAGAACTCACCGAGTATTACTATTTTTATACTCCCTCCGTCCCACAAAACTTGACCAATATTGACTTGAACATAGCATAATAAAAGAATGTGTGGTTGAAATTTGTGAAGAGGAGAGAGAAATGCTTTTAGCTACATATTTTTTTATTTTTAATAAAAATGAAGAAGTTTTTTGGAACGATCAAAAAAGAATTTTGGTCAATGTTATTGATCGGAGGAGTAGCTATTACAATGGAGTATTATTATTATATATATTATCATTATTGTTAGTACACTTATTATTATCAATGTTACTATTATCTTTGTTAATATTATTATTATCAGGATCGAAATTACACTGGAGCCTGGGACCGCCGCCCGACTGCCCCTCGAGAATTTATAAAATAGTGATAATAGATATTTTGTTGTAGATATTTTGTTGACCTATAACATAGTGACACATTAACTATTTATAAATGTGTTTTACTATATACTACCTTCGTAACGTTAGGATCTTCCAACTTCCCTTTTTTAACTGTAACTGAATGATCTTCTCATTTTTAAATCTTCCCATCATACTCTCAATAAATTTAAAAAGGGAAAAGGTGCAAATAGGCCCATGTACTAACCAAAAAAGGTCAAATAAGCCCTTATTTAAGAGGTTCTGTCCGGCCGTTGTCATTTGGGGTGGTTCCCGGTGGAATTTTGTGATGAATTTTTTTGAGCATCTTATTCATCAAGTCTAGTTTACTCATATCAAAATTCAGCTAAAACTTCAATCGGGAAGGCATTCAAATGAATTCTTGAAGATAACTGCGCTTCTAAGTGTCCAGTTATTTTCAAGAATTCATTTGAATGCCTTCCCGATTGAAGTTTTAGCTGAAATTTTGTATGTGTAAACTAGACTTAATGATTAAGATGCTCAAAAAAATTCATCAAAAAATTCCACCTGGAACCAACCCAAATGACGACGGCCGGACAGAGCCTCCTAAATAAGGGCTTATTTGACCTTTTTTGGTTAGTACATGGGCCTATTTGCACCTTTTCCCATTTAAAAATAATACACTATTACACCCACTTTTTTGGGTTTATTATTCATTTCACCACACTATTTTATTATCTTCTCATCATACCCTCAATAATTTATATCCCCTATCACTATTTATAATCACACTCACTTTGAGTTTGTGAAGATTCCAACGTTACGGAGATAGTATAACACTAGATATTCAAGACAAAGAAGAAATCAGTAAATAACGAGCTCAAATTTAAATGAAGTGTGTAAATGGGAGTAGCTTTTATTTTTATTTCCTTTCCTTTTTATGTACTTTTTTTACTTCCTTTCTCGCTTTGTATGTTTTCCTTCATTCAATAAAATCCTTTTTTCTCTTAAAAAAGGTGGACAATATAACTCGAAAAAATTGCCGATTTATTACATACGGCTTTTCAAGTTCGAAAAGTATGACCGTTCTTCGTTTTTCCCAAAATGTGACACATGTGCCCACGGCCAACTCTCCGCACAGAACACAACAACACTTCTCTCTGCACATCAGCAGAGCTTCCTCTCATCGACGCAAGCACAGCGGATCCTCACATCCTCACACACCAGGCTTAAATCTCTCCGCCGCCACTGCTCTCCAGCCGCCGTTGCTCTCCTGCCGCCGCTACTCTCCATTGAAGCACTGCAAGTCCATATCTTCTTCTGCGCCACCATCACTGGAGCTGCAAAAATCGGCCAATCGATCTCACATCGTCGCCTGCCTCCACCCCTGAGCCTCCCGTCGCCACGTCTTCATCTCTGCTTCTTCTCCTTTGTTTTTCGCAACATGTAGCTATCGAAGATTTAGATCTGGACGGTCTCCGTTCGATCTAGAGCATCTCGCCGGCGGCTAGGAGTAATTAGGGGTTGCAGCTCAACTAGGGTTGGGAGGCAGCGTGATTGGGGACATCGACAGCAGGTGGGGGACAACGAACGGGTGGATAGGGGGTTGAGAGGGCGGCTCACGGCTGCTTGGTGGCTGGGGCATCGTAGGCGAGCTTGAGAGGGGGTTGTGGACTTGTGGCTGGGGTTAGGGTGGGAGCTAGGGCTGGGGAGGGGGCAGGGCGGCGGCGGCGATTTCTGGATGAGTAGAGGCTACTGGTGGGTACGGCGGTGGAGGTGGTGGTCGCCGGCAGTGTTGGCCACCAGTGGTTATTATTAGACTAGGTAGTTGTGAGTGGTTGGACTGAGTTTGTAATTGATCAGTGTTAGTGGTCTGCGGGGGTGACCGGTGGTGGTGGTGGTGGTGGTGGCGGTGGCAGCAGAAGGAAAGTGGTTGTGGTGGCCGGAGTTGGGGATTAGTCACTGTGGTCGATGGGCAGGAAGTCATTGTGACCGGAGTCACTATGGTCGATAGTATGACAGTCATGATGGCCGGAGTCATTATGATCGGAATCACTATAGCAGCGAAGTCATTATGGCGGCAGAGTCAGTGTGGCGGTGGAGTCACTGTGGCGGCGGAGTCACTGTGGAGGCAGTCACTTTGTCTGGAGTCACTTTGGTCGGAGTCACTGAGATAGTGACTGACGGCGGTGGTGGCGGCAATGGTGGTGCTGGGGTCGGCGGTTCGGAGGTGCTGGTGGCCACAAATGTATAAAAGGAATATTCAAAAATAAATATATGATTAAATATAAGGAATAAATGACTTTTAGTCACATTTTTGGAAAAAATTAAAACAAGTCACTTTTTTATCTTTTTCACTCTATTTAAAATAACTCGATTAACGTACTCCTATGTACGCATGGACCCGGGTAAGTCCGATCCCGGGTCTGACATGCTTAATTCTGGTTTCGAGCTGATTCCTGGAACTTATTCGGCCGGGTCCCGCTTTTGGACTCAGCTCCATTAACTTTTTACTCCCTCCGTCCCATTTTACCTGTTTTACTTTCTTTTTTGGGTTGTCCCAAAATAAGTATCCTCTTTCCCTTTTTGGAAAGAAATATGTGGTCTACATCATTTGACTTTATTATACTCAAACATCAACCACAACTTTTACTTTTTCAACCACTTCATTAATAATCGTGCCAAGTCAAACTAAGACACATAGAATGGGACGGAGGTAGTATTATCTTTTGCCCCATTCTGAGGCTTAAAAAAAAATATCAAAAAAAAAAACCTTTTGCCCAATCAAGACCGAAATGGGGAATGGAACTCCGAACTGGGACCATATACCTACATGGACGGACAAAGTAGCTATAGGTTCTAGACTCGGGGTTCAAATTCCACTACATGGAACAAAAATGGTAGATTATTTTTAGACAATACCCGAATTGAATACAACTTAGATAAATGGTAATTATATGAAACTAATAGAGTTATATAGTTGATATATATGTCGTACTACCTCCGTAACATTCATATCTTCCCACTTTCCTTGTTTGGGTGTAACATTCATATCTTCCCATTTCTAAATCTTCTCATCATAGCTCTAATAATTTTAAAAATAATACACTATTACAACTATTTTTTTTTTATTTATCCTTCATTCCTTCACATTATTCCACTATCTTCCCATCATACCCTCAATAATTCATATCCTCTTTCACTATTCTTAATCTACCCACTTTTGAAATGGGAACATATGTATGTTACGGAGGTAGTATATATTAAAAATTTGTTTTTATACGGGTTTAGTCGATAAGTTTCCGCACCGATGACGGTCTCGGATGAGACCCTTTGCCTTACCCTAGTACTCTATAGGTCTCCTCTCACCTGATTTTATATCAAGATTTCTTACTAGAAAAGAGTCGGCTATGGAGTAGGCGAACATAACACTAAGATAGGTTATTTTTGTTCTGTCTCTAAGTCATGTCATGTAAGTAACGAGTGAGTTATACGCTATTTTGGGAATATCATTAATATTACGCATCAAATTTTACTAATCTTAAGTTTAAACAGTGCTAATTTTGCAAAAGTTATAACTTTTTACTAGTAATGAGTTAGATGAGCCATAATATATTAAATTGTATATATTTCAGAGCTCTATACTCTCAAACTTTGAAAAGGGTCCGTTGACCACCCAGACCCCCTTGTATAGTTCAGACAAACTGTTCAAACACCACTTATTTTTTGACCAATTTGCTTATATTTCAGACAAACTGTTCAAACACCACTTATTTTTTGACCAATTTGCTAATATTTCAGAGCTCTATATTGTAGAGTTCTTTGTTTACAATTACAAACTGTTCAAACACCACTTATTTTTTGACCAATTTGCTTATACTCGGCAACATTTTCAATGGTCGAATGTTATGAACTTTTTTTTGTATCGAGGATTGCTTGATAGTAACCGACAAATGTACGTAGTACTACAACATTCAATGCATGTGAAACGTACGAGTGAAACATACGAGTAAATCATAGCATGTGGAGCCTGCAAAAATAAATCATAGCATGCATGTGAATAACTCATTAATTACAAATACATTTATAGGTGTACTCCTCTCTCATTTGCTTTTCATCTTGTTGCATCTAATTAGTCTCGAAAGTAGTGGTGTATAAGGAATGAAGAAGTGAAGCAATCTGGAAAATCCAGATCCGGGAAAGAGGATGAACACATTCGCCGGACGCCGCCTCAAGCCGTTCTCCACACTATAATGAGCTCTTGCCTTACTCCTGGTGGCTCCACCGTCGTGCCGTTAGCCTTCGTGTCTCAAGTTACAGTAGCTCGATGGTCTTCTTCCGCCATTAATGGCTGTGTGATAGCTCTCTGTTCACGACCCAGGTAACAGCAACACAGCAACATCGAGGGTTTCTTCTCCCCCTCTAACAACGCCCTTGACCTGGGGCACCCTCCTTTTCTCCAGCATCATCGACCGGGAGTCGTCTCTCTCTTAAACCTCCATTTCCGGTTGCAGTAGATCCCAAGTTTGGTGACCAATGGTTAGGAGTTCGGACGTACAGAGGCAGGGGTAAAAGGCCAGGGATGTTTTGGGTCAAATAGCAACAGTGGGCTGGACCACCTTTTGCTCCAACGCAGCTCTACAACGGGCCAATTTCAGCAACACAGCCATTACTCAGCCCATATAAAAAGCTAAGTACTACAACCTATCTACTTACAATTAGTATGTGAACATGTTTGATAAGAGGATTTAAAAAAACATCAGAAAATGAAAAATTAATATCGAATTTCAATCTCAAGAGGTGAGTCATCCATTAAAAGATCCCTAAAAGCGTGAGTCTGGCGGGTTCGAACTACAAACTTGAGTGACAATTTGAGTTAGATTATTAATTTATCATCATTATTTTTAAGTAGTGTGTATTTTTTGGCATTGAAAAAATAGATTTATCAATTCCGAGCACTCACTTACACTGGCAGACTATTGAAATCTCGCACCACTGGGTCACATCATACGGGTGTGGTGATAATAACTCCCAACCCAAAAGTCATCTAATACACACTCTAATTTCTATGTTTTGTATGAGTTATATGTGCCCCCTAATTGTCAGAGTCACACTTTAGTCTAGGCGCGTGTCACACTCCAATTAAGCATAGAAATCTAGCTTGAGCTCTAGCTTAAAAATTTGAGGCCACCTAATGTAAGCTCAAATCCAATAACGATTTATAAGCTCAAGAAACTATAACAATTTTATTTGAATGCATAGGTGTAAATGTGTAATTAAATGATGACTTGGATTTTATATCGGTCCCTCGGCCATACTCCTTGTCATCTTTTTTTGATGATCCGAACATCACATTATGGACACTCGCTCGACTTATTTTCTAGCCAACTTTATTTGATGACTATAACTATGCATCATGGCAAGCTACTCATATACAAAGACTAGTCTCAACCATCCCCTCGGCATATGGTGGTCATTGCAGATACATGCCTAGGCCGAAAGGCTCACCCTTTTGCTTGATTTCGGGGGCGTCCGGTGTACTCTTTTCCCCTCATTAGGATTTTTCTCATATGGTTTTTCTTAGTGAGGTTTTAAAGAGGCATCTCCTTAATGTTGACAAAAGATGTTGACCCTCGACCCTACTAAAGACATCATGACATATGCACTACTATACTCCTCTTCACCTCACTACATTCACCTCAAGTAGTGGGGGACTAGAAAAGCGTGGACTTAGCGCCTTCATTAATCGAAGAAGCACAATTTCAATTTTTTCACGAGATTTGCCACATGCACCGATGACATCATCACATCATATGCAGACTCAGTTGCCACAACAGCAAGTACATATTCATAGCCCTTCGATCCCAGGACCGGTGGTGACGGTCTTTGGCCTGCGACCTTCGGCTAAGGATTCTCCTATAGGGTTGCCTCAGTCAGGGCTCGCCAATGAGGCCAAATCAACGACTTGGGAATCTGAAGGAGGTGCCTCGGAGATGTCAGAAGTTTAGACACCAGACAATGACATACCAACACACATTTCTACTCCATTTCGCCTCGAGTACTCTCGACTCAGGGAGTGGGGGACTCCTGATAGAGTATATAGACTCGGACCCCGATCTCACGACTATTAGGCGTGGATAGCAGCCCACACACGCTTACATGATGTCATTTATATTATTATTGTACAGTTCATATTATTATTGAAACCTAAGTCACTAGAACAACACAATTCAACACAACAACATTATTCTTCATCTTCTTCTCTATTTCTTTTTAGCTCAATCTCTCCATTTTATATATGTTTGGATCTCTATTATCCATTAGTGAAGAACCAAGAGGTTGTGCCATGTTTGGTTCTGGTGGCACATACATGGGCGTGTTGCGGCACATGGGCAAAGGTCATCACCACTGACTAGTTAGTCTACCTACACTCGGAAGAGAACGTGGAATGCCGCTGACATTAGCCACAAGTATGTGGTTGGAATGTCGTACTTCTGCGGCGGCCCTCATGGGCTTTATCCGTTCTTTAAATCGGTGTCCAACATTGCGAAAAGAAATTACTCCAACTCCGCAACCTTCAACCTTTCCACCCATTGCGGCACCCATGTTGACGCTCTCGCCACTTCAACCAGACACTTCCTTTTGCTCAATCTCATGAAGCTCTTCAAAGTCGTTGTTCATTTTGCTATTGAAGATCTCCCTTACAAAAATGTGTTCTATCCAAGGTCTTTTGTTTTAATATTCTTGCAAGAACTTCTAAACTTTGTCTTCCCTATTCTACTTATTCTTGTTTGATTCCGTAGATACTCACAGTTGTGTTTCTGATTTACAAAGCAGCAGGTTTCCTACGGGACTGAGATGTGCAGTGGACGTTCACTACGGGACTGAGCAAGAATGTTTTTATCCTAGCGTGAAGAATATACCGCAGCAGGTTTAGGAGGAGTTTGCAATACATCCCCGTAGCAGTTTGATGTTCTTCAAGCATGGCTGTGGCAGAGTACTTATTCTAGTCATCTCAGCCTGTCGTGTAGAGGAGCCACCTACGAAGAGCCACACTTATGTGATCAATCAAAGATAAGTGCTTGGATTTCTGTCTTCACTTAAAAACATTCGATTCTAACTTGGTTTCGTATAACATACACTTATGCTACAACACTACACCACTACTTTTGATGATCAAGCAGTCGTGTGTAATGCTAGCTTGCCATGAAGCCCAGTCAGGGTGACTTTTTTTGCTGGCTTGGCAGACATCCTTTTTTTCTCAACTGCCAACGTTATGCATGCTGGCATGGTAACTTTATGCATGTCAACCATTGTTTATAAAAAAATCATGTTCCTATTGCTTACTCCCTTATGGGGTGGTGCCTTATGCATGTTTGTTATTTTCATGTTTATCACTTTTTTGTTTGCAATGCTTTGTTACCATTGGGCATTAACCTCTCGCAACGTGCGTGCCCGTGCTAGTATTTGTGTATATATGGGATGGAAGAAAAGCTAACCCGCACTATATATACGTAATCCATCATTCACTTGGGAACATGCTTCTAGCTAGCTAGATACGTATATAATTAAAAAGCAATCATATATATCGTGGATGGTCAAATCAAAATGGTGAAGAATCGGCATATTGTGCCGTGTTTGGTGCTGCTGGTGGCATTGACATGGGCATGCGGCGTCTTGTGGACAAGGGTCGTCACCTCTGACGAGCTAGCCTAACTTCAGACAGAAGAGAATGCGTTCATGAACAAGACCATCATTGACATCAGCCACAAATATGTGGTTGGAATGCCCTACTTCTTTGGCGGCCCTCATGGGCTTCCGCCGTTCATTAAACCGGTTTCCAGCATTGCGAAGGAAAATTACTCAAACTCCGCAATCTTTAACCTGCCCACCCATTGTGGCACCCATGTCGACGCTCCTGACCACTTCAACCAAGACCCCAGTGGATGAAGGGTGCGACGTCAACTCTCTGGATCTGCGCACTTTAAATGGACCGGTGTTAGTGGTTGACACTCCCCGGGACAAAATATCACCGCTGAGGTTATGAAGTCATTGAATATACCAAGAGGAATGAAGCGTGTGCTGTTCAAAACACTGAATATAGACCAGAATATGATGAATCAATCTGCATTTGATTCCGCTTACATCGGTTTCACTACCAACGAAGCCCGGTATTTGGTCCAGAACACTGATATCAAACTTGTTGGCATAGATTAGATGTCTATTGTTATTTCATTGTTCAATGACATTGTTCGGGTTCATCAGACGCTCATAAACGCCAAGGATATGATTTCAGTGGAGGGTTTAAAACTGTACGAAGTTGTTCATGGAGTATACAGTACCATTCATTGTCTCCCACTGAGGTTGGTGAGCTTAGATGGATCGCCCAACAGGTGCATCTTGATCACCTGATCTGATTGCATGCTCGCCCGACCTCATTATTACCTATTTGTGTGTAACAGAATTCATCTTTATGTTATGATGATGATTGTTCTTATGAATATTCAACTATCCTAGCTCAATCATATTCTCAAAATAAATTGAATCTTCCTTTTTCTGCATGTTCCGTTGCATGCCCGCCTGACCTCATTATTACCTATTGCCGAGGATGCAATCAAATCAGGTGATCAAGATGCACCTGCTGGGCGATTCATCTAATACATACATTTAATGTTTTTGTTCATTTGTGGTAGATATTTGTCATTTCAGAACTTTTTGATGAATTAAATGCATAATCTTTCCAAATCTTGAATTCAGCACAGGTAAAATACGAGTGAAAAAACATTCCAGATCTTGAGTTCATTTCCTCTCTAAACAAATTGATGAGAGAGGTAAGGTAACAGAACATGCAGAAAAAGGAATATTCAATTCATTTTGAGAATATAATTGAGCTAGGATAGTTGAATATTTATAAAAACAATCATCATCATAACATAAAGATGAATTCTGTTACACACAAATAGGTAATAATGAGGTCGGGCGGCCATGCAATCAGATCAGGTGATCAAGATGCACTTGTTGGGCGATCCATCTAAGCTCACCAACCTCAGTGGAAGACAGTGAATGGTACTGTATACTCCAGGAACAACTTCGTCCAGTTTTAAACCCTCCACTCAAATTATATCCTTGGCGTTTAGGAGCGTTTGATGGACACGGACAATGTCATTGAACAATCCAATAGAAAGAGATAGGTAATCTATGCCAACAAGTTTGATATCAGTGTTCTGGACCAAATACTGGGCTTCGTCGGTAGTGAAGTCGGTGTAGGAGGAATCAATAAATGTGGATTGATTCATCAGATTCCGGTCTGTGTTCAGTGTTTTAAACAGCACATGTTTCACTCCTCTTGGTATATTCAATGACTTCATAACCTCAGCGGTGATATTTTTGTCCCAGGGAGTGTCAATCACCCATCCGGACCATTTAAAGTGTGCATATCCAGAGAGTTGATGTCGTACCCTTCATCCATCAGTGTTTGGTTTAATTAAGTGGCCGGAAGCGTCCACATGGGTGTCCTAATGGGTGAGAAGGTTGAAGGTTGCAAAGTTAGAGTAATTTCCCTTCGTAATGTTGGACACTGGTATAAAGTACGATGGAAGCCCATGAGGGCCGCCAAGAAGTAGGGCATTCCATTCACATACTTATGGCTGATGTCGATGATGATCTTGTTCCAGAACGTGTTCTCTTCTGTCTGAAGGTAGGCTAGCTTGTCGGAGGTGACGACCCTTGCTCAATAGATGCCGCACGCTCATGTCAGCGCCACCAGCAGCACCAAACACGACACAATATGTTGATTCTTCACCATTTTGATCTGGCCGTCCACGATATATATGATTGTTTTTTAATTATATATGTATCTAGCTAGTTAGGAGCATGTGTTCCCAAAGTGAATGATGGATGTATATATAGTGGGGGTTAGCTTTTCTCCCATGCCGTATGTACACAAATACTAGCACGCACATTGTGCAGGGTTAATACCCAATAGTAACAAAACATTGTAAGCAAAAAAGTGATAAACACGAAAATAACCAACATGCATAAGGCACCACTCCATAAGGGACAAGAGTCGGCATGCATTAGGTTACCAAAAGCCGACATGCATAAGCTTGATAGTTGAGCAAAAAAGGATGTCTGTCAGGCCAGCAAAAAAATGTTACCCTGACAATGCTTCATGGCTGCTTGATCACCAAAAGTAGTGGTGTAGTGTTGTAGCATAAGTGTATGTTATACAAAACCAATTTAGAATCAAATGTTTTTAACAGAAGACAGAAATCCCGGCAGTTATCTTTGATTTGATCACATAAGTGTGGCTCTTCGTACGTGGCTCCTCTACACCACAGACTGAGATGACAACATAAGTTCTCTGCCACGGCCATGCTTGAAGAACACCAAACTGTTGCGGGTATGTATTTCAATCTTCTCCTCAACCTGTTGTACTATAGTCTTCACGCCTCGTAATCAACGTCCACTGCACGTCTCAAGCTACAACATCCAATCAGGAAAGTCTCACACTTTTGCTGCTTTGAACATTAGAAACACAACTGTGATTATCTACGAAATCAAACAAGAATAAGTAGAATAGGGAAGACAATGCTTAGAATTCTTGCAAGTATATAAATAAAGGACCATGGATAGAACAATTTTTTGTAAGGGAGATCTTCAATGGCAGAACGAACAGCAACTTCGAATTCATCTCTTAACAAAGTCACGAAACAATGGTCAGTAGAAAGAAGCGTTGCAAATAGTAGTGATAAGCATTTAATAGTTACAGGTTAAAATGTAACACTCACCTGGACTGGCCAAACTACCACAGTGTTCATGGACCGATGCTTCCTCTGAACCAGTGAAAACCCCTCCATGTTCCACGTCATACAGGAATGTTTCAAAAGAGAATCCACCAACGTGACGAAACAGGAGGCAGCTGGGCAGCATAACATTATATTCTAGGAGGAACTCTTCTAGCCCGTCGAAAAAAACTAAGTCATCAAACCTAACATTCTAAGAATCAGCCCCACACATAATCCTCGCATGCATCCTCGTGTGTTCAAAGAGGTGATGTTGCATACAACCAGAGAGACGTTGGGAAAAGAATGATCTACGTGTTAGTTAAGTTACAACATTACAAGGGAATGGAAATGGACAGTATCAAAGCTTACCACAGAGTCGAGGTCATCAATGCGTATTGCAAACCATGCAATAACGTACTCCATCACATCCGGGTGGTGGAAAGTTGGAAAACGAGGACATCCTGCAAAGATGGTTGATTAATATGGATAAACAACCCTTCATGCTTTTTATTAGAGGAGTTAATACAGTGGAGTTTTACAGACCTTTTGTGTGAGTGACCGAGCATTCTTCACGGAGAAACTTACGGAGAGTCTGTTCAATGTTTAGGGTTTAGGGTTTAGGGTTTAGGAATGAGAAAGGGAACTGAGGAAATGAACCATGATACCCCGAGGCCTTAAGAAATTGTTGCCATCCTTCGTTTGTTGAGCACCAGAACCGGGCAGGGCTTCTGTGCGTGAGTCGGACAACACTGATATTCTGACCGTGTTGGGTGTGTAGGTAGTACCCGAATGTGTTGTTGCTACTCCCATCAACTCCTATTTGTACAGTATAAGTGTGAAACAGATCCATCCTAAACCATATTTTTAAAAAAACAAGTCTTAATCATATCCTACTCTACAACGAACATATGCACCAAAAGTAGGATCAAATCAACAAGACATGCACACATGAAGTCAAATAACATACAGTTGTGTTGACAAGAACGGACACTACCAACGGGGCATACAAGCATATAGTTGGCCTAACATCAAATTAACAAAAAAAAAACAACAGATTGCGTAAACAATGAGCAACCTAAGTACACCCAAACTTTCAAGAACATAAAGCTTAGAAACCATAACAAAGTTGGCGGGGAAATGGAATCCCCAGCACTATTTAGGTCTGGGTTGTGGCCATTGTTCTAAAACTCGCTAGGCGCTAGTCGGGCGGTTGAGGGGCGCCTAGTGCCTAGGTGGCCGGCTAGGCCGATTTTTAGGCCGACTAGGGCGATTTTTTGGCCGACTAGGCCGATTCGGCCTCTACGGTTAGGACCGACTAGGCCGCCTAGGCCGATTAATCGGTCCGCCTAGGCTGATTTTTAGAACAACGGTTGTGGCAACAGAACATTAACCACTTAATTGGTTGTTTCAAGCCAACATGCATTAAGAGATTCTCTGAACAACACTGAAAACTCACAATATTTTGTACAGTAACGTGGGCAGCGCAAGTAAAGCGAGCGATGAAGACAAAAAAAACACGGCGACGGTCTGATGATTGATAAGTCCATATCTTGACACACATTTGATGCGTGTTGGGATCGACTTGTGATGGTTTTCCTAGCTTTAAGGTGTTACAAGTCTCAATTTTAGCTCAAGTTATGTTTACCGGGCGTTGGTTCAAGTTTTGTGTCATTTGGAGTCAAAATCGGGAATTTAGAGTTCGGCACCGGTGCTTGAGGAGCAATCGGGATGATTCGAGATGCATTAGAGAGTGTATTGAGATCTTTAGAGGTCACTGGGAGGTTCACGATGAAGATTTGATGACAAAAGATCTCTAGGATCTGCTATGGGATCAAAAGAAGATAATGAAACTGGAAAACAACGATCAGGATGACCTTCTGTCAATCGTTAAAGCATATATCTTTGTAAAAGTATCCAAAGGACACGATTCAAGTTGCATATGAAAGTCAATCTCAAGGGCTACAAATCATATGAAGACACAATTGAGAGTTTTTGACACCATTAAAATTTGTCAGTTTTTGCCTAATATCACTTTGGCTAACACAGTACTGCTTTGGCAACCCTAAATGTTATCTTTCACATATTGACTGTTTAAACAAGGTAAAACTTTTAATACATGTTACATATTGAATACTTACTGCTGAATCAACATCACTTATTTGCAAGATGAACCAATTGACAGTAAACTGGTGGACATCAGGAGAGTGTATAGTTAAAGAGCTCGGGCACCCTATGGCATTTCCAAACATCACAAACAGTATAATTGACACACGTTAAAGACAAGAAATTCATTACTTCATCACTTACTTGTAGTATTTGTTCTCAATGAGTTCAGGAAGGTATTTAAAGTCTGCTCCAAATGTTTTGTGTCATTGAATTGCATTGGGATGTAGCTATCGAATCTTGTTGCCCTGACAAATAGTTGCCACCCTCTTGCTGTTGAGCATTTTTGTACTCCATTGTTGCAGATGACATTGGCAATTGGGATTCTTCGTCCATTTATTGTCATCATATAGTATGTATGGATCTTTTTCCCTTCAACACATAGTCCAACGAGATGGGACGCCGTCATCTGAAAACCGATCAACGGTCAGATCCTAACTAGTTGGTTATGCTTTCATACTTGGTAGATGATATTCATGAGATCAAAACGCACTGGCCATATATATCATCTCTGATTTCCTTAGCTCTATTTTCCCGGACTAAGAATTAGAGAAGAAATTATGGCTTTCTTAGCAACGGCTGAAGTTTGTGATTCTAATATAGCTTATCTTGCGAGTGGTGAGTTGCGGGTACTACATCCTGTTTTTCAGATATATGGGCAATGCCGTGCATTTTCTGGCCCCATTGTTACTCTTAAGGTGTTTGAGGACAATGTGTTAGTGCGGGAGATTCTTGAAACCAGAGGTGAAGGCAGAGTCTTGGTGATAGATGGTGGTGGAAGCTTGAGATGTGCTTTGGTAGGAGGTAACTTGGTGCAGCTAGCTCAGAATATGGGTTGGGCTGGCATTGTAGTCAACGGTTGCATAAGAGATGTAGATGAGATCAATGGGTGTGACATTGGGGTCCGCGCATTGGCATCAAACCCTCTGAAACCCAACAAGAAGGGCATTGGTGAGAAATATGTACCTGTTTATGTTTCTGGAACCTTAGTTCGTGATGGGGAATGGTTGTATGCTGACAGTGATGGGATTCTCATCTCTAAAACTGAGCTCTTCATCTGATTGAGGTGGCATAACCATGCTTTCATTGGCCCATCTCACCTTATGCCATTTAACTCAGATTGTGTTGAAGTTCTTGCAATGCTTTCATTGAACTATTATTCTTGGATCATCTGCATAGACTTTGGTTTAAAAAAAAAAAATCTTTTTCCCTTCAACACTTGTGGATTTTTCAATAGCAAATCCAGTAAAGATGTCCATTTTAGTACTGTTCTGTTAAATGAAAAAAAACATAAAAATAAAAATACACTTCATTACAGCAATAAATAAAAATAAATTTTCTAAATGCAGTCCATTTATAGTATACTTTAGCAATTTCTGTGACATTTCCATATAATTCATGTATCAAACTTAAATAATTCATGCAATTCAAAGTGCCACTGAAAGAAGAAGGTAGAAATAAGTTTCTGATTACTTGTCTAACAATTATTAGAAGTCCAAAAAGAAATGAAGTGAACAGAGTTGCCTTGTTTGGCGAGAGAGATGACAGGTTTGGTTGTTTGAAATTGGTGCAGCGTGAAGAAACTGCTCTCAAGTGTGGTGGTTCTGGACAGGGTTATGTGAAGAAACTGCTCTCAAGTACGCTTGAATTCAAAAGAACGTTGGGAGAGGAGAGAATATAATGGAAATTGAAGTAACAGTTGTCCTTGCACCGGTTCTCGTACTATTTTGCCTAGCCTTATCTTAATTTTTTTTTAAGTTAAGATGTTTGTTCCATTTCCCAATGTCAGATGGCAATATTGTATGTATGTCAGATGGCAATATTGTATGTAATTGTTCAATAAGGTGTTCAAAATGGAAATAATTGACATATCAATAATGTTTGCAATGTATTATCATCTTTTTCTTTAACATGTATTAGGACTGCGAGTCCTTTGTTAATATTTTGGACGTTTTTACGTTGATTTCAATAAAAACAAATATACCAAAAAAAACCCTTTTATGTTAATTTCACCTAGCTACTTTGTTTACATTAATGTCAATTTTTCCCAAGCGTAGTGTGTACTTGTTCTTTCAAATATTAAAAATTGTTATTCCTAATTATCTTATCTTTTTTTAAGTTAACATGTTTGTTCCACTTCCAAATTTAGGATGGCAATATTGTATGTAACTGCTCAATAACGTTTTGAAAATTGAACTAATTGACATATCAATAATGTTTGCAACATGTTAACATTTTTTCTTTAACATCTATTAGGACTGTGAGTCCTTTTTTATATTTTCAACGTTTTTACATTGATTTCAATATGAATATATACCAAAAATACCTATTTTTGATGTTAATTTCAACTACCTAATTTGTTTATGTCAATTTTTTCCAAACATAGTTTACACTTGTTCTTTGAAATATTAAAAAAGTGTCTTCCCTAATTGTGTATAGTATAATGTACTTATAAATACTATATTGCTTCCTTTATTCATTATGAAATTTCTATTTATTCATACATTATTTAAAAAAATTGGTATATAAATACCAAAAATTTATTCATACATTATTCATACATTATTATAAATACATAACTTTCTATTCATTTTGTTTTCCTGGATGAAAAAATAAACATGGCTTTGAAAAAATATCAAACAGAGCATATTGTTCTTCTGCCAATCAGGAAAATATGTATTTTTGTGACATGGTTAAGTATTGCCAATAAATGCCATCTGTTCAATAGAAATAAGCTGACAAAACAAAGTGATGATAATAGTTGTCATTGTTTAATACTTGTAACTTTTCCAATGTCAAGCCAAACATACCCACTCAACCCCAATTACATGTCCATTTAAGCAAAAAACAGTATTCCTTAACCCCACCATTTTACATATTTCTTTCTATTTTTTTGTTCCCTCGCTCAACCTTTTGTTGCTGTACTCAATCAACTCTAACACCATCTTCTTTCTGAACATCCCCATGACATCAGCTGTCAGCTCGCATAAGTCCATATCCATCATCAAGAATTCTGCAATTTTGAGTAAATACATTCCACAATCTCCCTTGTAACAAACAACCTTTTTTATATTAGTATTTTTATGTAATACAATTTCATATATGTAACTTATTAAGTCTGTTACTTACGATGTGTCTTGTTGTGGGCAGTCTGCAACACCCTCAATAAGAATCTCTCTCTCTCTTTCCCATTGGCTCTTCATCAATTGCTTCATAGACATTGTGGAAATCGAGAATTTTGGGTAGCATTTTTGTAATACAATTTTTGTATTGCAGAATATCACGCAGTGAGTCGCTTCTTCTCTTGTTTGAGTTGTACTCTTTAATCTTTCTTTCCTTGACCACAAAGACCAACAACACCCAATGACTTCCGGTGTTCAATGGCATATAAACGAAGTCACAATCTGCCTAGTGCAGGGAGAAGTTTGTTGCAGTTCCTAGAATGTATTGGGACATACTTTCTTTGTCTGCTGCTTCTTTGAGTGTGGTCTTTCCATCTAAGATCATGTCATGCTCCCTCTTTATAATTTGTATAAAAAATGGCCCTGTGGTTGAGTACTTTTGCTTCAACTTGAAGTGTACTCTCTTCATTTCCAGATAGTACATCCCGACTTCTACATGCTGCAAAAACAGAGTTCATATCAGATGTTATTAATATATCTTTCTTTAATTATTTTATTTGAATAACAGACTATATCGTGTCTTTTAGCCATTCATGGTTTAACCACAGGTCATGCAACCAAGTTTTTGACTCTATCTTCATCATGTCCAAAACAAGCGGTTTAGTGATCAACCTTTCATCATCATTCTTGTATCTTCTAGTCTCATTTTTGTCTTTCTTTGGAACTTTCAGAAGCCGAATCTAGAGGTAATCGCTGAATAGTCTTGCTTGTTGTTCATCAATAGGATCAGTTGGGTCTTCTGAGAAGGGTCCATAGATCACTTTACGTGGTGGTAAGAATTCCTCTTTTGCTATTCTTTTGGCCTTTTCCTTCCTTCTTCTTTTTGCGTCAGCTGTCTGCCCTGCTGGTGTGTACCTGACAGGAGATTTGGCAGTCCTTTTTGCTCTTTGAGTTTGTGTAGATGCTTCCTTTTAAATTTCATCAAAAACAAACATTGATCAGTCACCCATTAAGTCACTATTAATTACAGTGGCAAAGTATAAATGACATTAATATAATATTTATAACTTTTCACTGAAGTTATTGTCATCACCTGCACTTTGCTTCCAACTTTTTGGTTCACATGTTCCTTGTTTTCTCCAAACACCTGTCTTTCAATCATGTCTACATTCATACACAAATCTCTAATGAATTGTGTATTTTCTTCACTCCAAACTGTATCAACATCTTCGTCATCTCTGTCATTTCCCCTTTTCTTGTTTTTTTCTACTCCACTGTTAGTTTTTGTCTGCATAATATAATAAAATTATTTGCTATGTCATTTTAGTGCATTTATGATGTTATATTGTATGACAGAATGCAACTATTGCCATTTTGTGGCAATTAAGGTGTTGTATTACCTTGTCATTTTCTTTAGAACCACTCCTGTTCAACCTCGCTTCTTCTTCCTTATCATTGCTCTTCTCCTATAACAAACAATCATTTCTTCTCAATTATATATTAAATACAATTATATATATTTAAATCAAATGAAAATTTAATTGCCTTTTCTTCTTCTCAATTATATATTAAATACAATTGTTTCACATGAGAAAATATGACATGTATTACATGGACCTCTTCTTGGGTATCTCCTACAGTGCTTTTACTTCCATTGTCATCCATGCCTATCTGTTCATCATTCTTATTCTTGTCCTATAAAACACATGTCATACATTGAAACCAATGAACAATATAAACTTGAAATTAATTAATTTATCATTACCAAATCAATATTTTGCTGTAAGACCCCTTCATTCTCACTGCTTCCACTTTCTTCTGTTTCTGCTTCCATATTTGATATTTTAAAACCGGGTCCACTGCAAGGTGTGGGGATGACTACATTGTCTGTTGCTTCATCCTGGACTTGTGGTTGTTTTGGTGGTTCTTCATTTGTTGCTTCTGCATCAAGTCCATTGTTGTTGATACTTTCAGTCTGTTTTTCACTTCCAGCCTTGTTGCCATCCATCAGTTCTTCAGCTCTAGATGTCTTTCCTTCTGTATTCATCTTTCATCACGTTCTTTGAAAGTTCCTTCACCAAACGAATCAGTTTAGTTAGTATCACCTCCTGTTTGTTTTGCTTGTTCTTCAAATCCCTTAACTCTGCCATCATCTTGAAATTTTGTTTTACTTGGTGGTCAAATCTCCTCAGCATCATTTTCTTCACTCCCCTCTTGGAAATCTCTTCTTCACTTTCCTCATCACTCTCATCTTCATCAGTTTCCTTTGACGCTTTCCTTTTACTTGCTCTAGAGTTGCACTATGGTTTGTCTTTCTGTGTTTTCCCCTTTTTGCTTGCAAATTTACCCTTTTTTGTGTTAACTGCAACTTCTTTTGTTCTCAGTTTCCCCTTTCCCTTTGCTGCCACTTGTTCATTCTTCCTCTTTTCTTTTCCATCTGCTTTAATCACCTCCAGTAATCCTAGTTCTTCATCTAGTAACCTTGCTTCAGCAACACCTTGAATATTTTCCATCTCTTGTGCAGTTGGCACTATGCTCTTCCACTCAAACTGTAAACACAAAGCACAAATATTTCTACATTACACATGTCTTCATTTATTAAGGATATGTAAATTTAAAAACATATAAATTTCAATTACCTCATCATTATCAAATATAAGGTCATAGAAGAGTTCCATGGATGGCTTTTTCTTGAAAGCCCATTTCAGTGTTCTTGGGATCACATTTTCTCTGCCTTCAATAATACTGCACAGCCCTATGTTAGCCAAAATCGGGAATGTTTCAAAAGCCCAGATTTGAAGTACGTGCATGCATCCTGGGAATGCAACTCTATTTCCTCCACACACGTTCAGTGCCTGTGCATTTCTATTGATGTTTGTAAACAAGTCCTCCCACACATCATCCCCCCAAGGATATACGTTGAAGGCTTCAATATCATGGACTAACTTTATGTACTTTGCTGGTAAATGGTCTAGACATTTGGTGTCCCAGTAAACCATGTGCTAGCACATAAAGCAGTGCTAACTTCAAACCATCTTCCTTTTCTATGTG